ACTTCCCTTAGTAACTGCACTATGTTACTTTGGTTACCTTTACAGTGTATACTAATCTATAATTATATATATCTATAAATATAGTATACTCTACCAGTTCTATGCACTACTGAAAGATATAAATAGTTAGGGAATTCTCAGCTAGAGCTAGACATCTACAAAAATGTTTGGAAAGTATGTGAATATGGCTGTAATTGAAGTAGCTTTGAAGTGGCTAGTGGATACTGAAGTCTCTCCTAAGCAATAATAGTCTTTGAGTCTTAGCAGTGATTGTGTTGTCCTTAATAATAAGTAGTTCATGACTGAAAGTGAAGTCAGTTTTGACAAAACCCACTTACAAACAGAATGATTGAAATAACAACACATTTTTTTTTTTTAAATCTTTCAGGATGCAAGGGTGAAAGGTAAGCAGTCCAGCTTGATCTGTTTAAATGTCCTATAGTAAACTTTGTAATTAGACTTCATTAGCTCATTTAGGTGTTAGTGATTACAAAAAAACTTGTTTGTTTGTTTGATTAAAGATTTTATCTGCGTTGGATTTCTCCATTCTGCCAACATCAGTTTGTCAAATTATGTGTAAAATCATATTTTATAATATCCACTTTTCCTTTTTGCCTCATAGCTCAAGACATGTAGAGTAATGTGTTTCATTACACTATTTGTATGTGTGTGTGTGTGCAGGGAAATTAAATTAGTGGATTATTATGTACCTTTGTTTAGATGAATGAATCAAGAATTGACATCACTGTACTCAGGACATGCTCACATGTGCTCAGTCTCCTTCTTCAGTAACCAGTGAAGAGTTCCTGCTAACAGTACCAACTGCAACCTGATTAAAAGTTTGCCTATTTTCCCTTCAATGTTGAGTATCTTCCAGAATCCCTAGACCCTACCCCCGTTGAATTAGTCTTTCACTGTATGGATTCCCTATCTGTTTTGCACTGTTTATTTGATCTCATAGAGCCGTCACCACATCCACTTTATCATATAGTAGCTCACTGCCCAGAGAATCCGCAGCAACTAATCTATCAGCCTGTTTGTTACTTCGACACCTAAATATATTGGTCAGAAAATCCATGATATGCTCTTGATTTGTATTTTATCAAGTGATGCAAGCTAATCTGCATGCAGGACACACCAGTTTAAATTTCCTGAAGCATGCAGTGTGAGTCTGTTACAATTAGAACATGTTAGACTGTGCTGCTTTCAAGCCATCAGAAAGCTGTCATACTGCCTCCACCTCTATTCAGATACTGGATGTAGCGACATTGTGCACAAGGCTCTATATTTTTAACAGTGTCCCTTCACCTTTGCAATAAAACCCCACCCGCTCTTCTTAACTCTTACTACAGACCCATCTGTATCTTTGTTTGTCATTCAGTAGCATAAATTGTGGAACTTATCTCTAAAATATCTTCCGCCCTTAATCCCCTGATAGAACAGAAGCCTTTAAACAACTGTACACCAGGTTGTCCTAACCTTTGCCTTCTCATTCAGCTGATCCCATGTTCTCTTCTATTTCACTTCATTCTTTAATTATCTTTTGCATGGTTGCTAGATAAATGCTTCCCTTAACTTAGTTGACTGGATATTACTGTTTTTTTTTTTTAAAGGTTGTGGATTAAAATGTGAATGGAGGCAGACTTTTTTCAAACTTCCAGGTCGACCAGCCTTTAATCGGTCGAAGTCCCACCAAGTAACAATTAGTTAATAAAATATAGGTCTGGCACTTTATGCCTGGGAGTCTCCCTGGCGTCGGCAGCTAGACGCCCACCTGTGGATTGGAAAGTCATCGGTTCACGTCCTGACGGAGCTGGACTTTTTTCAAAAATGACCTTGACTCCCAGGTTGACCCAGCCTTGAGTGGGTACCAGGTTTAGTCTTAGGAAGTAAAGGCGGCCAGCATGATGATGGCCACATCACTCACCAAGTGCCGATTGTTCTATACAAATATAGGTCTAGCCATATATTCCCAATACGCCTAAAGGCATGGAAAAGGGACATTTACTTTTTTTTTTCTATATGCCTAATTTGCCTGAAGGTGTGGAGAAGGGTCCTTTCGTTATTGGTTGGTTTTTCTGGCTAGTATTTTATGGGATGAGGTAGCTAAACCACCCTTGGTCGCCCCTTACGAAATGCCTGGTAGCGTGCAGTGTTAAATTCTTTGTTTCACATTAGTAACTGCTAACACTAGGGTACAAATATACCCTAATGGCATGCAAATTTAACGACATTATTTTGACTTCATTTGTGCTTCATTTTATGTTGATGTAACTCTGTAGTAACGCACCTGACGAGATACAGCACAATATGCCTGGCAATAAATTGTGCAGTGTATTGTTTGTGTCCGCATTATTTAAATTTCTGTAACTACTCTAATCATAATTTGCTGACCACACTAGAAAACTGATTGGTCTATAAAATATATATCTACCCCTATTTGCCCAATACACCTGAAGGGGTGGAAAAGGGCCCTTTACTTTTAGTTTACAAATCATCATCTCACTAATGGAGTAGTCAGATGATAAATTTTCATTCTACCTTCATTAGCAAAACAAACATTTAGTGATTAACAACATCAGCTAGCCCAAATGTGGTTACTACAAGTGCTCTAATATAACCGTTACACCAATCCAAATGTGGTTACTTCATAACTGTCAGGTGCCCTGATATAACTGTGTTATACCAACCCAAATGCGGTTACATCATAACTATCAGGTGACCTCATATAGCTGTGTTATACCAACCCACATGTGGTTATTTCATAACTGTCAGGTGCCCTGATATAGCTGTGTTATGCCAACACACATGTGGTGACTTTGTAACTGTCAGGTGCCCTGATAAAGCTATGTTATACCAACCCACATGTGGTGACTTTGTAACTGTCAGGTGCCCTGATATAACTGTGTTATACCAACCCAAATGCGGTTGCTTCATAACTGTCAGGTGACCTCTTATAGCTGTGTTATACCAACCCACATGTGGTTATTTCATAACTGTCAGGTGCCCTGATATAGCTGTGTTATACCAACCCACATGTGGTGACTTCGTAACTGTCAGGTGCCCTGATATAACTGTGTTATACCAACCCACATGTGGTTATTTCATAACTGTCAGGTGCCCTGATATAGCTGTGTTATACCAACCCACATGTGGTGACTTCGTAACTGTTAGGTGCTCTGATATAACTGTGTTATACCAACCCTAATGCGGTTACTTCATAACTGTCAGGTGACCTCATATAGCTGTGTTACACCAACCCACATGTGGTTATTTCATAACTGTCAGGTACCCTGATATAACTGTGTTATACCAACCCACATGTGGTGACTTCGTAACTGTCAGGTGCCCTGATATAGCTGTTATATCAACCCATCAGCATCAGTGGTTTAGGCGTTGCGGATGTGCTTCGTAATGCCGGGGTGTCTGGTTTGATCCCAGCTACAGGTGATTTGACAGCAGACCGTCCGGTATTGGTTTCAACTGTGGTACTGAGAACTAACCACTCAGAAAGCAGTGGTAAACTACTGAACATAAAATTTGCCTAGAAAAAAACACACGCAACAGTGAAAGAAACACATATTGGGATCGGTTCTGCAACTTCCTAAAGGATACATACCTAACTTATACCAACCCAAATATGACTACAGGTTACTTCATAACTGTGCTGTATGGTTGAACAAGGTTTCTGAGGTTTGTTGCTGTTAGCTTCTCATCCGAATGGTGGTTCTTTAAGTCACTAGGTGAGAATCTTTCATAAGGCAATCCTGGAGGGAAAAATACAAAAATTATTAAAAAAAAAAAATAAAGCACATCAAGCTTTTAATTGTTGACAGCTGAAGTTGTGACCTTTCACACAGCCTTACCCACAGGAGACATTCAGTATATAACTACAGCTAAAAAGCTGTTTTTTTTTTCACTTAGGCATTTAAAGCATGTGGGGTGGTCCATTTCTTTCCTTGCTGTTTTCTTTTCTGGAACAGTCTTGAAAATTTGCAGTACCCACTTTATGAGGCTCTTTTGATCAGAGTTTGCCAATGCTTGGGACTGAAACCTAAAACATTTTTAGGAATGGAAAAGCTAGAAGACTAACCATCATGCCATAGTTCCAAAGCTGTGATATATATATATATTGTGTGTGATATTGAACTGATTGCACAGGATAGAATGGAATAGGGGATTAGTCGGCGAGCTCTGTGTGACATATAATGGTACAACAGGACAATGAAATACGATTGTTAGTCATCCCTGTGTGGGATCCGGGGCCCTATTATAAGGAAAACAAGAATAGACCTACTGCCTACCCAAAAGCATGTCGTAAGAGTCGACTATTTGGGAACTTCCCTTGAACTTGGAGTGCATCTGCCGGAGAGGCAAGGAACCAGCAGTCTGCATACAAATGTGTCAGGTCTGTAAAACGGATGCACACACAACACTCAAGTTCTGGAACAGGACTGCAGTCCAAAAGTGGACGAACAACCAGAACTTTCCGCCAGAGTTTACAGCTGGTGAACGCGAAGAAGAAGAAGAAGATAGTGAGGCAAAGAGGGTCTGGAGAATATTATAACATCTTGTCTTAACCTCATAGTGCATCAAACTTAGTGATCTTTACTGTGAATGCAAGGCTGAGGTTTTGAATTCTAAGAAATTTAAGGGTGGTGTACTCCTCTTGTGAACATGCGGTAGTGTATGTCTAAATCTCTTAGATAATGATGGAAAGCTACAGCATGTGTACATCTTTGTGCAGTCTGGCCAAGAGAGTCAGAGTTAAAGAATAACTCTTTACTAAGAAATGTTTTGTTGAAACTTTGTCATTTTGAAGATAGTACAACATCATTCTAAGGGATACAACATTGTTGTAAGGATACAACAGCAGACATCCTTTTCAGGATGAATGTGATCAAACCATAAGAAAAGAAAGAAAGTTTTGTTTATGTAACTGTTTATTATGTAATGAGTATCAAGATATGAGTTAAAATATATTCTCCATTACTCCACAGTCAGGAAAGTGCGTCTACCAAAGTTAAATAGGATTGAAAAATTAACAAGAGGCCTGCTATCACAAAGAGATGTCAATGCTATATTCGCTGTGAAGGAAATTAAAGGGAAAGGGAGAGGTGTATTTCTCAGATCTGCAGTTTTACGCAAGGATTCTTTTGTCCTTGAATATGAAGGTGACATAATTTCAGAAGCAGAAGCCCAGATACGGGAAAAAATTTACGCCAACAATAATGAAGGTTGCTACATTATGTCCTTCTTATTTCAGGTAAGCTGTCTGAAAGTTAACACTTGCTGATTTACTCTTCAACCCTCTAGTGTCAGATATTTAAATTACATTAATAGACCAAAGGGGAAACAAAATATTTTGAAGCATCATTTGAATAGAACTCTCACTGGTTCCTTCTCTCTCCTTCCTTCTTTTGCTGTCTTTTTCTGTATGTGTGTGTGAGTGCACCTCCGTACTTGTGTGTGAATAATGTTAGTTTTTTATGCCTTTTATATTGCATACTCAGTTGTCTGTCTCATCTTGTTTCAGTCATTTGTAATACAGATGATCTTCCATGATGTCAGACTGTCCGGAATCTTCTGCCATAATCTCCCTGTCCCCCTTCCTACTGTCGTGATGTACTTCAGTTTTCTCCTTCTCTTAATATAACCAAAAAATGTTAATTGTCTCCTTCTGATGTGGGTAATCAGTTCTCTTTGTGACTTATTTCCTTTAGAATATCTTCATTGCTCTTTTTATCTGTCACCAGTGTTTTCATTATTCATCTATAAAGTCACATCTCTGCTGCTTCCATATAAATGTTAACTTACTTGTTCATAAATTGTCTCACAGTGTTAATGGACGCTCATGACAGAATCACCCAGACAAGTAGAGAATAGCGTCTGTGGTATCTTACTGTCATCATGCAGTTGTATGCAGAATTCCCCCCGCCCCCTCAGTGTGAATTCTGGGATCCCATTTAGAGAGAAAAGAGAATAGACCCGTTGCCCTTAACTGTTTCAGTACCAGGGGATTTAGCATCAGAGACCCAAGGGGTGGTAAAGAGAAATATATAATTGGCGCATCTTTCATTCATTGGGCTTCTGGGTATGAATGAATAATGCATTTCCTGGGTCTGACAGAGTTAACAGACATGTAGTAACAAATTCCTGATTAAGGATTTGTTGAAATTAGATGTCAAAAAAAAAAAATGGCACAGATGGCATATGAGTTAAAATATATTTTCTATTACTCCACAGTCAGGAAAGTCTGTCTGCCAAAGTTGAATAGAATTGAAAAGTTAGCAAGTTAACCACAACACAAGATATCAACTGTTCTTTACAAAATGAGAAGTAGTAGTATGCAAATTAAATGTTGAAAGCAGCTGAAATTTTGAAATATCTTTTAGAGCCATCCAACCCTTTGAGACCATTATGAGACAGAATAATTAGAACATATTGTTACAGTTCCAAAAAATATTATAGAAATAAATTGAAAAAGATTTTTGATAGTTATCATGACATGGAAAAATACCAGCTTATATTGCTAGCACTGTGTCGAAGTCACCCAGTGCAATTTTGACGGTTTTCATTTTAATTCGTTTTCACTCCTGGTTTTTATCATTTTGGATTTGCCAGAGGCAGACGTGGGAATCCCTAACCCATCAGGGTCAAAATGAAGTACTAATTTTCATGCAGCTACACAGTTTTAATTTTATTTTATTGTTCACTTAGGCGTCTTTGATGTAGTGTCTACGATATATTGATGCATTTTGTTTCACACAGTGATGTGTGGAGATGCATGTTTGCTACAACCTGTTGACAAGACATTTAATTTTAGAATGCACATATAGACAGACACACTACAAGACAGCAAATAGACAGATTTGGCTGGATCTGTACCAGTTGTAAGTTTGAAGTTTGAACAACAGATCAACATCATGGCACATGGGTGTAACCCATAAGTGCTCCGTCCTACTTCTAACTCAAGCCTGAGACTGAAGAAGCTCAGCACAATGCACAGGCTCTGTAGCACCGATGAGGATCCTGAAATACTTAAGATTTTTAACTAAAAATTATGCCCGGCCAGCGCAGTCAGGCTACTTTTTTCTATTTCCAACTGCCTAGGGATTTTTTACGTGCGCAACAATGCACACGGGCGTCCTATCTCATTACCCAGAGACCAGGGGGAATTACTAGAAGTCCAAATCCACTTGAAAAATCCCAGCTCTTACCGGGGATTGAACCCAGAATCTCTAGCACTCGAGGCGGACATCATGTCAAGACCACACAGCCCCCCTCAGTGGTAAATTTGTGCATGACAAGCTAGATGTGGTTAGGGCCCTTTGGGAGCAAGATAACAATGTGGAGGCATGAATAAGTTATTAAGGTCTGGAGAGAAAAGTAAACCTGGGAATGACCAGATGATCTGGTCGACACTTAACACTCAGAGGAAAGGCGAGGCAGACATTTAATTAAAGTGCTGCTGGTACTATTGGAATTTAGCTCTTCGCTGGCTGCTGAAGATGAGGAACTTGTGGGAAGGTTCTGAATGTTGTGATGTCAATTGTTAGCTCTTCACTCAGTCGACAGCCTATACAGATGGCTCTGTGTTGAGAGACAGACGAAGTGCAAGGGGGTTTGTAGCAAAAGCGAATGGACGTCACTTAGTGCAAGAATGCCTTGCATATGATATCACAACATCTAGTTTGAGAATGGAGGTGGAAGGAGTATCACTGCTGCCTTTAGCTGGCTTGAGAATCAGCTGTACGCACATGCCCTGATTATAACTGACTCACAGAGCATGTTGAGAAAGGTGGAGACTTGCATGCAAATGAGCAGCCAGATAGACTGGCCGGCTCTGCATCACTTGGTGGTGAATTGATATATGACAAGCTAGATATTGAGAGGGCCCCTTGGACGCGAGTGAACAGTGAGGAGGCACAGCTAGATTATTATGGTCTAAAGAGAATGGCGCCGCGAGGAGTTAACAAGGGGATCTGGCAGACGCTGAACACTCAGGGAAAGGGAGAAACAGATATACAGACAGTTACTGGTGCCGTTGGAATTGGAACTCATCGCTTGCTGCTGAAGATAGGGACGGAGCGCTAATCGAAGTGTCCTTAGTGGTGTGATGTGGATTCTTAGTTAAACATACAACAGACAGACATACAACAGATAGACAGACAACAGATAGATGGACAACAGATACTAAGAGATTGTTTGCTAAAAATCAGATGGAACACTCAGCTTGTTTTCTTTTTCCTTTCATATTTGTGTTGTTTGAGTTGTGTAGACAGTGAAAAGAGTGCATCATATTCATGAAGACTGCCTGTTCTTTTCAGGGAGCCAAAATGGCAATTGATGCCACAAGAAATTTTGATTCTTTTGCTAGGTTATTAAATCACTCACGAGAACCCAATGTTCGATTTCACCCCCCTTTTGTGACTGATCTAAAAGGGGGACTGCCAAGAATAGCCAGTTACGCCCTTCGAGATATCTTCAAAGGGGAGGAAATTGTAATTGATTATGGTGTTCGAGATGGGCATATTACCTGGCTTAGAAATCGAGAGGTGGGTGCAATTTATTCTTGTCAAATATTAAACATGTTGCTTACTCTGACTTATTTTGTGTGTGTGTCCCAGGCAGTTGTCAGTTTAATATTTTTGTCACCAGATATTACACTTTCAAATGGCCATTTGATTCTAATATGATTAATTTCATAACATTATGCAATGTACATTGCCGAAGTTACAGTTGGGTAGAGTGCATAAATCTGATGGTGGCCAGGAACAGAATATCGGAAAATTATATCACATAACAAGTAACTTGACACGGCCTGTTTTTATAATGGGTCATTTACAGTGTTAACAACAGGGCAAACACAACAGGTGTGTTCATTTCTTGGAATCAGGTCAGGCCGGATTTTCTTTTCTTTAAAAAATGACCTTGGCTCCCATGTCCATCCAACATTGAATGTAAGAAATGGATCTATAGCAGCCAAGCATGGGAGGGTTGCCAATGGGATTTGTGTCGCACCCGAAGCTAAGCTGACCAAAAACCCAAGCAATATATAAGCAAAAAAAAAAAAAAAAAACATAACCCAAAATTGATGAATAATACATATTTTATAGTTACTTACTTACTTACTTAGTCGCTCCTCTTCTACTTTGGGGTGTAGAGGTTTGCCAGAGAGATCGCCAGACGTCTCTATCCGCAGTTTTCTTTCTGGCTTTGTTCCATTCCAGTCCTCTGTCAGTTAGGGACTGTCGGATGTTGTCTTCCCATCGCACCCTGGGTCGTCCCGGAGGTCTGGTTCTTAGCCTCCCATGCTTGCCATGGTGGCCAATTTTCTTCCATTCTGCATACATGTCCAAACCATCGTAACTGTGACTGATCTACTCGGGTTAGTAAGGGCTGGGTATCAAGATCTTGACGTATTGTCTGATTGCGGACTTTGTCCCTTCTTGTCACTTGGACCACCTTTCTCAGGTATCTCATTTCCGAGGCCTGCAGCTGGCTTCTGTGAGCTGTTGTCATTGCCCATGACTCACACCCATAGGTCAGGACTGGTACATAGGTAGAGCGGTAAACAGCCATTTTCGTCCTCTTGCCCATTTCTCTTTTGCTAAGAAACCCTCGGTTTATGGCCTGGAAGAGTCTCCCAGCAGCTGCTTTTCGTGTAGCCAGCTCAGTCTTAATGCCTCCGTTTTGGTCAAGTACAACTCCAAGGTATTTGAACTGGTTAACCTGCTCCAATGCATACTGTCCCATCATGATCTGGTGTTTCTTCTCCTCTCTTGAGATCACCATGGTTTTAGTTTTGGAGATACTGATGGTCATACCTTTCTTTTCAAGCTCTTCCTTCCAGACAAGTAAGTTGGACTGAAGGTGTGCCTCTGATTTAGCTATCAGGGCCACATCGTCTGCAAAAGCCAGCTCTGATATACAGATTGGTCTCATCTTCCAGTACCCTACAGAGTACTTCTTTGACTTCTCCTTACAGGTCTTGATGACATCATCCATCATAAGAATGAAGAGGTAAGGTAAGAGAATATCACCTTGTCTAACACCGCTGGCGGTCTTGAATTCTTCTGACTTTTGGTCTGCTGTTCTTACATAATTTCTGCACCTTTTGTAGAAACTCTGTATTGCACTGATCAGGGGTGCTGGGATGTTTTTCCCTGCCAAGCAGTCCCAGAGCTTGTTCCAGGGTACCTTGTCAAATGCCTTTTCCAGATCCAAAAAACATAAGTGCATCTCACTCTTATATTCCAGGGCTTTTTCACTCATCTGTCTCAGTGTGAAGATAAGGTCTTGAGTACTTCGGTTTGCTCTGAAGTCGCATTGGGCCTCGTCCAGCTGTGGCTCTACCAGACTTCTAAGTCTCTGCTCAAGAATTCAAGAGTAACTTTTACCTGGAACGCTGAGGAGGTATATGCCTCTGTGGTTTTCACATTGTCTGTTATCACCTTTTTTAAATATAGGTATAATGATGGCAATCTCCCAATCTTTTGGTATAGTTTTGCTACACCAGGCTGCCTGGAGAACCTTCAGTAGAAGGCGCTCACCTTCGGCTCCCATATATTTGACCATCTGGTGTTATACCATCATGACCTGCTGCTTTTCCCAGCTTAATCTTCTCAATAGCTGCCTTCAATTCTTCCATCCTGATGTTATCTTCCCCATGATAGAATTCCTTCTCAGCAGTGAGGTCCATTATTTCTGGGTCATGACTTCCCTCAACGCCGAGGAGCTCTGAGAAGTATTCTTTCCATCTGCCCATGATATCATTTGTAGAAGTAAGCAGAGCCCCTTCCTTGTCTTTTATGAATTTAAGTGGGCACTCTTTCTCCTTCCTCATGTTCTTAAGGGTCTTGTAGAACAGTTTTTGGTTTTCTCTTGCATTCTTTTCCAACTCATCAGTGTCATGGTTCTCTTTGAACAATCACATTGTCAAGTCGGACTTACCAGAAGTGAAAATGCGTGATAATGTATTGATCAGAACCAACGTTATGACGTTTCTCGGGGTGAGGTTTGATCGCAGCTTGTCATTCAGGGAACACGTTGACCATGCGATAACAAAAGCACGCAAAGGTCTATCTGCAATGAGGATTATGGCTGCTTCCAATATCGAGCAAAGACTGCTGGTGCTTCTATTCTACGGTCTGGTCCTTTCCCCCATTGAATACGCTCTGGCCATCCTCACTGTCAGTGCTACCCAGATTGAACGACTCGAGAAGGTGCAAAATGAAGCCATGCGTATTATTTTGGGATGTACAAGAGACACATCCTGTGGAGCAATGAGGTATCTACTTGACTTTCCAACAATGAACCAAAGGATCAGGATGTGGAGGGCTCGGGCATACCTCAAAATATGTGCTGATAAGAAAAACACCCACTGCATCAAGCGCTTTTTAGTGAAAAGGGCGACAGACTGAAGAGGGGAAAATCGTGGCTAGGTCGGGCAGAAGATGTTATTAGGCAAATATGCAGCCTAACCGACATCATACCTGGTGCAGAATGGATACCTGTGCCTCAGGCGTTTATTTGTACATTTTCCTGTATTGTCACACTTAACAGGCGATGTAGAGAAGAGAATCCTGTTGCTGTTAATGCAGAGGTCAACGCTCTCATCGGTGAAAATTCAGACGAAGCAGATGCACTAATCTATACAGATGGATCCGTTATACGCCAAAGAAGAAGCGCATGGGCATTTACAGCACGCTCAGCGGGCAGAACAGTCAAAGAAGCCAACGGCGCCTTCTCCATGACAACCAGCAGCATGACGATGGAGGTGATGGCAGTGACGCAAGCGTTTGCCTGGCTTGAAACACAAAAATACACCCGCATATGTATACTCAGTGATTCAATGAGTATGATCCGGAGGGTTCAGGCAGGTTCAGTGCGAAGACAATGGCTTGAATCAATTCAGAAGTCCACTGTGCGAGGAGTCACCTTTATTTTTGTTCCGGGACACGCAGGCGTCGATGGAAATGAAAGAGCTGACAGGCTGGCTGGATCCGCTATCACTACCGACGGTGGGCCTATGGATCATGCTGATATTATCAATGCCCTCAGAGAAATGGGAAGGATAGAGGACTTTGGTGGCAGTGAATCCACATCACTCGCCAGAATGGCAGACTTGGGAATTAAGATCGGCACAGCAAAAAACGAGACACACACCGGACACGTCAGAAGACTTGTTAATCAACATAGAACTGGTACTATTAGCCATCGGTCGTTGGGATTCATACTGAGGGGAGGATCTGAGCACCTATGGACATGTCCGGAGTGCAATGATGATAACCCAACTAACTAACTAACTATCTTTTCCAACTTTTCTCCAAACTCTTCCCATGATTTCTGTTTTGCTTTAAGCACAATATTTTTGGTCTCTGTTCTGAGTGCCACATATTGTTTATATTTTTCTATTTCTTCAGCTGTGTTCCTGGCTGCCAGGTATTGCTTCCATGCCCTTTTCTTTTCTCCTATTTTCAATTTGACTTCTTCCGTCGACCAAGGTGTCCTATGTCCCCGCCTTCCACTCGGGACTTCACCACATGCTTCTACTGCAGCTGCTGTGAGGATATTCTTGAATCTGCACCAGAGGGTTTCAGTGTCCTCTGATGATTCTTCTACAGTTCCTATTGCTTTCACTATTAGCTCCTGGTATCTAGCCTTAATATCTGGCTCTCTTAGCTTGTATGCTTTAATCCTAATCCCTTCTTGGTTGCTTGGTTTCTTGCACGGTTGTCGGTGTTGCCTTGTTGGAGCAGTTCCTTCAGTTGTTCTCTTTATTGTGACCAGATAGTGGTCACTTCCAATCTCTGGTCCTCTCATGGCTCTGGCATCTCTCACAAACTTGAATGAACTTTTCCTAACTATGGCGTAGTCAATTATGGATTTTTCATTTTTTGAAGGTTCACATCTTGTGTATGCATGTATACGCTTGTGGGGGAATTTTGTGTTTGTAATGACAAGGTTCTGTTCCCTGCAGAATCTGAGAAGTCGCTTGCCATTATCATTCAAAACATCTTCACCATATCTCCCGATCACTCCACCCCATCTAGAGTGATCATTTCCTCCTCTGGCATTTAGATCTCCTAGGAGGATAATTTCATCGTGACAGTCATCTATGGTTCTTTGGAGCAGTTCAAAGAATTCTTCTTTAACATCTACTCGCTCATCTTCATTTGGCCCGTACACAATGACAAAATTGACAATTTTATCTTCTTCTTTCAGATCTAACACCATTATTCGCTCTGAGATTAATTTCCATCCCTTGATGTTACTAACTTGATTCCTGGCCACAATACAGCCAACACCTCCCTTGGCTCTCTCCGTCATAGGGACACCACTGTAGAGCAGCATACTTCCATCGTGATCTGTGATTCCTTGCCCCTTTTTCTTGGTTTCAGTCAGAGCCAAGACTCCTAATTTTGCTTTCCTCATCTCCCCTACTAACTCGTTTTCCTTTCCCTTAATGCCTCTTATATTCCATGTTCCATAAATCCTAGTCCGTAAGCCATGCCAGTTCGTCGCCGTTAAGATCCGTCCGGTTTTCTCTCTGTAGTTACTTGTAATCGTGGTTTAAGGCAAACTGGTGATTGGCCTGTTGTGCCTTTGCATGGTGGAGGGGCTGCCTCCTTGCGGCCTCCATGCAGGCCATCTGGCTGATTCAGGGTTACCCACTACTTCCGGAGGCGCATGAAGCACTCAGGTTCAGCCAGACCCTCCTCCTTTTACAGCCGGGCTTGGGACCGGTCTTAGCGGAGTTCATATTTTATAGTTACGAAATGAAACATTTACCCACTTTTATTTAAGAATATAAAAATTCAAAAAAAAAACGCGGACAGCATTGCTGTCGTTTCTTGACCACTTAGATTTACCAATTGCGACAGAAAATTCCGTGGATTCTAAATAATAACAGATGCATTAAAAAAATGCTACAAGATTTGTAGATGTTTAAAATGTAGCTCACATAACATTATTAATTTACTAAGTATCTGAAGTTAATTGCTAATGAATCATCTTAGAAAATACGCAATGATGGTCGAAATTAATTATTGGGATTTGGGGGTGATCAGGAAAAAATATCTCCAACAGAAAATACGCAGAACTCTAAATAATGACAGATGCATGAAAAAATGCTACAGTGGTTGTGGATTTTTAAACAATGATTAAAATAAGGTTAGCTAATTTCATAATTATTTTAAGTTAATTATAAAGCGGGACAAGCGGTCTCCTAGTGTATACATATTGGGTTGAAAGCGAAAACAGTGATGCCACTAAAAAATTTTTTTAAACATTTGCGCTCAGCCAATCTTTGTGAAATTTCCCCTACTTATATAAAGATTAACGCAGAATTAAAAAATACGCCACAAATTGTGGTAATCTGGCTAATTAGGAATATATTTACGAAATTACTTAACGTTAATTCACTGCGTGCTGCCAAAAAAAAAAAAATCGATTTATTGTATACGTGTCAAAACCATCTCAGGTCAAAGCCTAGCATCTCTCCAATAACTTCTAATAATTTTTCAGATTTTATCTTTCACGTAAAGAGCACAGAAAAATAATTTCTTAATAACGGTCATTTCGGGCTGTCTTTTTTTGGGTCGCGATCACGTCCCTAGTTGCGGATGAAAATATCCACTGCTATACCTTATATCATCTTACTTCACATGGCTATGTCAGCAAAACATGTTTTTATTGGTCAAAGGGAAGGAAGCAGGTAATTCCATACTGTGTTTGTATTAGCGGTTACATCCCTTTAAGTAAAAAAAAAATCACATTTGCATGATATTATGAGAAAAAAAAACAAAAAAATAATTTTTACAGAGATTATAATGATGTATTACTTTTTAACAAAAGTTTGAAAAAATAAATATTTTTTTTTCAGATTCTTATAGGACAAAAGGTCTAGTAAGAATCCTCATTGCATCCATTTATTGTTCTTTACATACTGTACCATTAAATCCACCATTTATCATTCATTTGTTATTATTTGGCAGTTTGTTTTGTCAGTATATTTGTTAACTCCATTTTCCTTATGACACACAGAAAGCAAAGCTTATGTCCTGACAGTGCTTAACATCTGATCTAAAAGAAACAGATCCTAGACTGAATCCTAGAGAGGCAAATAACAAAAGCCTATCACTTGTATATTGTAGGTGTCCATTGTCCCCGTGACATCAGATCGGCTGATGTTGGTAAATTGCATGTACTATTTTTAAACGCTGCTCAATAACTGTTGTGTTTAGGATGGCACTTGATCAGACTTACAGACTTTCTGTGTAAGAAAAAGATAACTCTGAAAATGAAATCTTATGTTCAAGGTAGTTCACTTTTCCAAGAAACTAAATGACAAATTACACAAACACAGAATCTCTTACCACACTGCACAAATCACAATGGTAGTCCTAGATTAGTCACATAATTCTCTTTTTTTGTACATAAAGTGGAATTGCCCATTTGTAATCTTTAATATGCATCCAGTGAGATCTAGTGAAGCACATCAGGTAATAAATTGTGTAAAAGATTGTCTCTGCCCTTATTATTTACATTCTTAAAGGCAAAGTATTGTTAACAATATATTATCATAGATAAGAAAATAATAAATGCATGGACATTGATAAGTGCTCAGAGAAGAAAAAAAAAATCAGGTAGCAGAAAGAAATGAGTTTACTGACTTTTGTTGTTGTTTGATTAAGGTCTTCTGATTTGTTTCTAGCTTCAGGCAGTAGTAAGTCCTGATTGTCTCAATTAAAGTTTATGTTCAGTTATAGAGGATCGATTTTGCAGACCTGATTTTTATCCTGTTAAGCTCAGTTATTCTTTTGCAGCAGAGGGAGCCCATCAATGAACATTACATCTCCCCCCCCCCCCCCCCCCCCCCCCCCCGACACCTTGATGAGGTACAAGGTGGAAGAGAAGAAGAAGAAGAAGATCCTTTGCAGAAGGGGTAGTCACCTGCCAAGAATATCACACAAAGCACAAACTATTGCTCCAGAGGCAATCTCTGGATGTCTCTGCAAATAGATGCTGTAAATAGGTATAATGCAGTTATGTCAGCTTGCATGAGCAAGAGTATTAACAGCCTAACACCGCTTACCTGTGTGATAGTATCTAAGCTAGGACACACAGGTTTGTGACAGTATCTCACTACCAGTACGCCACTGGCTACACACACCTCTGTGTCAGTATCTCATCTAGGTTACACATCGCATATGACAGTATCTGATCTGGATCACAGGTATGTAGTGGTAGGTTGGCTGCCATGTTAGCGTTTTTGGGGTCACAGACCTGTGTCACAGTAACTCACCTGGGTCACAGACCTTTGTCACAGTACCTCACCTGAGTCACACACCTCTGTGATAGTCCCTCACCTGGGTCACACACCTCTGTCATAGTCCCTCACCTGGGCCACACACCTCTGTGATAGTACCTCAACTGGGCCAAACACCTTTGAGACAGTACATCACCTGGATCACTGACCCCTGTGGCAATATCTCACCTGGATGACACTTCTGTGACAATAGATCATCTGGAACAGTCACCGCTGTGAGAGTATCTCACTTACAGTATCTTACCTGGGATGCTACTTATGTTATACACCACTATTGACTATCATACCATTTCAGTCTGATTTCATGAAGTTATCCCCAGAAATGGTAAAAGCAAGTGTAGAACTAAGAGCTGGGATATTGTTGCGTTGTGAACTAATGTCTGTGTATGATTTCTGCAGATTGCTTTCAGGACAGATGTTGACCTAGATTCTTCAGATGACAGTGATTGTTCCAGCAGCCATGATTCTCACACAGGCTTTCGAACCTCTGAAAGGCCTTCAAGCCCGGAGTGCTACGCTTCCTGCAGCTCTGAGAGGCCCGAATCTGCAGCAGCATCAAATACACATGTCACAAAAGATAAACAGATCAGAAGAGATCCAGACAATATGGCACTCAGCCGAGGAGAATGGGCCGCTCGTATCACAAGATTAGTTCCACAGAGCCGCGTAAATCGTTACATTGCTGGACTTGAAAGTATTGAAATACCTCAAAAGATATTGAAATGTTTAGAGGTTACTTCTGAAAGGAAAAGTAAACAGTCATCCACAGAAAGTGTTGTTTGTTTGTCTACGTCTTCAAGTGGTGGCAGCAGCAGTGTGTCCTTAAGAACCTCATCTTCATCAAGAAAAAATACCTTTTTAAAATATTCTTTAGAAAACCAGGATAAAGCTCTTGCCATTGAACTGCCTTCGAACGAAGCTCCAGATAGTATTCACAAGGTGCTTGAGTGGCAGAAGACTTCACCTTTACCTCGTAGTGCAATGAATATACAAATTATAGGCGTCCAAAGCCTCAGTGATTTTTCACATATAGAAAGAAGCACAGACTTGGAGCCTAGCTCTTCTCATAGGCAGCAGACTGATTCAGCACTGAAACATCAGGAAATTCCAGCCAGCAGCCCCCCTCATCCTCCTCATGTTAGTGAACCTAATGTACTTCCGCCTATGAACAGTCAGATCAGTCATCCATCTAGTGCTTTTTCTTCAGATGTATCATCCCCAGCTCCAAACAACTTGAATGTTTCTGTAGTGACTATAGATACTTCACAATCCGATGATACAGATGAATCTTCCAGTTTGAGTTCTTTTTCATTTACATTTATGACACCACAAAAACGTTCGAGAGAGCCTGACACAATAGAAGAAAAAAGGGTTATTACTGAAACAGCTGAAGTGTGTGTTGTTTCAGATGATGAATTTGTTCCAGAGACACCTGTGTCAGAATTAGAGCCGCAGAATCCAGAGAATACTTCTATAGAGGCAATAGTGTGTGATGAGGATGATGACTCTTCATCAGAATGTGAAATAATACTGACAGAACCTGCCAGTTCCTTAGCTGGCACAGCTAACACTGGATGTGCCAGGAATCTTCTAGGAAAGCGAACAATGGGGTTTTCTCCGACAGCTCAGCTTCAGGTAGCCGTGGTAGAGCCATATGTTGGTCCAAGCTCTCAAGTGGGCTCATTTAGGGTAAGTTGTTGTATACTCATATTGTAATTGTTCTTCCTTTACAGCTTGTTGCTGATTGTTGAGAAGGTGCATTGTAATTTCATCGTTACTTTACAGAAGGAAAAAGTGACGTTTAACTCCTGATATTGAGCAGCTAGCTCATCATGCATTGACTGCTGATACCATAATCACATATGTTTCTTACCATATCTGTCTCTGAAATTGACTTTTTCATAGTGCCAGATGTACAGATTGACCATAATGTGTTTAAATAGTAACTAGTGGAAACATAAAGTGGTTCAGTGAATGCATTATCAACCAGTTGTTGTTGTTAACACCTGTCCATTTTTCCAGATGATAGTATTCCATTGTGCTATCTAGAAGGCATGGGAATCACACCCCATGGTAAGACCAGCTGAAGCCAGAGAAGAAGTTGCTGCTGTCCATAACACAAAGCCTCAACCAATAGGAGTTCACTTAATAATTAGAGCAGGGCTATTCAACAGGCGGCCCATTGGGCAGACCTCGCCCACAGAGGACTGGCAATGGGCCCGCAGATCACTGCCAGTTGTGTTGTTTTATTGTTCTTCTTTTTTTCTTTCTGAAACTCAGGCCTCTGGCCTGTCCCCATCCTCATTTTCAAAACTTGGTACCCTACCCTTAGCTAGAACATAGTGACCTATGAACACACTATAATACTGCTTCCTGTGACAGATATTATAATAAATTACAAAGGGTAGGTTTGGTCAGGGGTCTGGCTATCTCATCCCACAAAAAAGAATTCAGTCCCTAAGGCCAACCAGCTGTGAACAGGTCTAAAAGGAACACAAGAATTACTCAGTCAACCACTACAATCACTTGGTTGTCAATATTGTATTATTAGTTGTTCTGATGCATTCATTAACTGGTGCCTGTGCAGAATAGAGGGAATTAAAAGGTTTGATAGAATCACTAACGGTGAGCTTTGGGACAGAACTAAATAAATTAAGGTGCACCAAGAGATGAAGAAAGAATGCTGGCTTTGGATAGGAGGCACTTTGAGCAAACCTGAGAACCATATAATTAGAATGTCTTTGCACTGGAATCCACAGGGAAATAGAAATAAAGGCAGAGAAGGGAGCTAGAGACTAAAGTAAAAAAAAAAACACGGTAAGGACATGGAGAGAGCTGCATGCAATAGCAGGGATGAGTTGGATGTGTTGGTTGCGGGCCTAGGCTTCCCTGGGGGATAGATAGAAGGCAGAAGAACAAGATGAGAAGTTTTGATGCTCGTTTTCTCAACTGGGTGCTATGCTTCTGACTCTTCTGTCTGTGTGTGTGTGTGTGCAATTGGGATCTGTGAAAGGTTTGCGGCAGTGTAATGGTACATGGGCTCCCATGTTTGCGGTACCAAGTTTTTATATTAGTTGAAGCAGGATGATCCCCTAACCCAAACCATTTCCACAGCTGTGGGGTTGTTGGTCCAGACACACATCATATGTGCCTGCGGATTGAAAGGTCGCGGGTTCAGGTCCTAACAGCCATACTCTTTTCAGAAATGACCTTGGGTCTAAGGTCGACCCAGCCTTAAATGGGTACGAGGCAAAGACCTGGAAAGTAAAGGTGGCTATATATATTACTATATGTTAATTTCACTGGGTGAATGCATGTGATAGCAACATGGTATCCCTCTTATGTGGTCATATGTGCTTAACACCATTTTATTAGCATTAAAGTGCAAGTCACAGTTCCATATTCACACGTTCTGACATATAGTGCTAGCCTTACATTTGTATGCACCAGGCAACACTCGTCAGGTATGTCAATATCATACTGGTCACCATGATATTTCCTGGTACAAATTTTAGGCCTGAGACTCCAGATAATTTGACAAAAGTGCCCTGATGGGGATTTTAACCTATAATCAATGGGCCCCGTCAAGGCATATTAGCATAGCTCTCGTAATTGCATGTAAATAGGCACAGTTTACAGCTTTGGCTTCAAAGGGATTTAATTTGAGACAAACACAACCCAAACGTCCATCCTTTATTTGTTTCCCTGAACCTATTCATCAAAAACCAAACTGTAGAGGCACGATTAATTCACAGTATCATCATCCTGTGGTGCTGTTATATATATCACATAAGGCTTACCTTGTCTTTATAGAATTATTACACTTATCACTGAACATCCTTGATTCAGGGCTGTACATTAGGATTGGCTCTCTACTGTTCTGGAGAACACTTTTTCTATCTGTTAACAAAGATAGACTGCTTAGAATACTATTTTTTTTAATTGCTTTGGGAAATGCTGATTTTTCTTAGGCTGTTGCACTTTAACTTCTTAATGCAGCTTCCAACTGCTGTTTTCAGGCTACGTAAGTACCTATTCTAGGGGTTATTCCTATAGCTATTTTCAGGGATATTCCTATAGCTATATTCCGTTTTTGGCTTCCATGATGAGTTTCTTGGGATAGTAATGTGGGAGTTTCCTGTTGCTTTCCACATCCACATGGCTTTAGATGTCCTCAGCCTTCAGCAACCTTTTCGATTGCTAGGGCAAGTGAGTGCACTGCTCTGTGATGCTCCTGCTATTTTCAGTCCTTAAGAAAGAGAATAGGGACTTTTGAGCTGAAATGCTGTAGAAAGATTCTCAGAATATCTTGGACAAAGAAGATGAGAAATATTGACATCTTAAAAGATCTGAACATCAAGGAAGATTAGCTAATAAACAGCATCCTTTCTCGAAAGCTGAAATATTTGGGTCATATCAAGGGCCAAGACGGATTGGAAAAAATTATAGCAGAAGGCATGGTACCAGGAAGGAGGGGCAGGGGCCGAGCGACACGAAGATGAGCACAGGATATAAGTGACTCCTTGAGTGTGAAAGTGCATGAGGCGGGAGAACTGGCGAGAGACTGAGTTTCTTTCAGGCAGACTGTGATGAGAGTGACATTATGCAAAGGACCTGCTACATGATAATGATATTCTGTTTAGGAACTATTGCGATGCTTAACGTTATGGCTGTAACTAATATTTTTTGTAATTTTTGTCATGGACCTCATATTTTTCTTTCTGTATGATTCAAGGGTCCCATTTTGCGTGTTGTGTATATGATATGTGTCGGGGTGAGCCCTATTGCTCTATAACAAGCATGTCATAAGCGTTTGATTGAAAGTGCAGATATTGCAACCTAGCTGTAAACCACTGCACAGCATGTCAGCTGCACTTTTACTGGTGAATGCAAAAAACAAAGAAGCATTTTTTATTTGTCATGATGAACACTGAAGTCACTCTGGTGTAGCGGCTGGATGCTTGCCTGCGGATTCAAAGGTTGTGGGTTAACATCTGAATGGAGCCTGATTTATTTTTAAAAAAAATTTCTTTAAAAAAAAATGACCTTGCTCCCATGTCAACCTAACTTTAAATAGGTACCAGGTAGTCTTGGGAAGTAAAGGCAGCCGGCGTGATGTTGACAACATCACCCACTGAGTGCCAATTTTCTATAAAGTATAAGTTTAGTATAGGGCTATTTAGCTAAGTTTATTCAGGGGCCAACAATTTGAAAATTGCGATTGTCACGGGCCAGAGGCAGGAGCCCTAGCGTAGAAAGCTCATTAATACAATACAAATGGCAATGATCCTCCGGCAACTTGCTAGGCCTTCATGGGCCAGCAGTTGAATGTCCCAGGTCTAGTACTATATACCCTACACACCTTAATGTGTGGAAAGGTATTCTTTTACTTTTATGATAAACACATAATAAAAAGATAGTAAATTATCTACACCTATTTTGACACTAATGTAGATAAAAATGTGGTTGGGGGACCTGACAGAGGTAATAAAATATAAATGCGAATGGCAAAAGGAGTTTTCATAAAATTAGGAAATATGTGTAAGTCAAATGTCATTAAAACCTATATTCAATTAACAATTTGTAACTCTTACGTTAAATCAGTACTTAAATATGGAGAACAACTGAAAGTTACTGATAAACTACAAACATACATTAAGCGGTGCCTGCACAAAATAGAGAGAATTAAATAGTGTGATAGAATCACAAATTTGGACTTTTGAGAAAGAACTAAATAAATTCCAGTGAATCAAAAGGTGAGTAACGGATGCTGGCTTTAGATAGGACATCCCATTGAGAAAATCTGAAATCAGTGTAACTAGATAGGATTTACACTGGAACCTTTAGAGGCACAGTTATGGACGCAGACCAAAAAACATGTGGAGCAGGGAAATAAGAAATTTAGTTTTAAAATGAGGAGGACGGGGAGGAATTGCATACAATAATGATAGCAGAGGATAGGATGATGTTTAGGTTTAAACAAAAGATCAACATCTTGGCACAAGGGTAGTAACTCATAAATGCTACATTCTACTTCTAACTCAAGTCTGAGTGAAGAATTTCAGCGCAGTACACAAACTCGGTAGCACCAGCGAGGATCCTAAAAAAATCTTTTTTAGATTTTAAACTCCAGATTTGGCCTGGGCAGTGCCGTTACGCTACTCTTTTTGATTGCCAACTGCCAAGGAATTTTTTTCCCGTGAACAATAATACACGCTGGCATCCGATCTTGCTACCCAAAGACCAGGGGAAATTACTAGAAGTCCAGTTGAAAATATCCCAGCCTTCACAGGGGCTTGAACCTGGGACCTCCAGCATGCCATGCCTCAAGACCATGCAGGCCCCCCCCCCTTCCCCCCCTTCCCCGCCCAGTATGGTGTGAGTTGGTTAAGGGCCTATACTCTGTTGTTGGGGATGGGAGAGGGAAGGGAAGGTGTAAAATAAAATAAAGTGGAGGGGAAATTATCTGTTAATTGTTTAATGCTGATTTCAGAGGTCCAGAGTCTTTGACTTGTGATCTGTATACAGACTTTTAAGTAGTTGAATGACACTATTAAATATAGTCCTACATTCTACAACACTACTGGTCCCAATCCTTTGACAAGGCAGGAAGAATATTGGGCGTCGGGCAAGCTCCCCCACCCTGTTAAACTACTACAGAAATTTGTGATAAAGAATGCCATTTCAGAAATAGAAAATGCACATGTTCAAATGGTTTATCAAAGATAGACTCACTGGAACCAAACTTCAGTAGACAGCATTGAATCAGCAACACTCAAAAGACTACAAGAACTTCAGGTCAAAAGCAGTGTCGCTAAAGAAGAACACTATGCAGGTGGCCAAAGAAAAATTGTAAACCAACACATAACGTGTGTTATCAGTTGCTACACACAGAGGGATATGCTGAAGATGGGATCCGAGCGCATATGGACTTGTCCGATGTGCAGAGAGGATAATCTGTCAATTAACTAACTAACCAAACCTACTGTTAATCGGTTTCTGTTTTTTTCCATGTTTAGATTTTTCTTTAACTAATTTACAGGTTACATCATCATCATCATTACCATTATCATCATCATCGCATGTGGATGGATCACCAGTTGCTATCAATGGTCTGATCTGTTCCCTCCATTTCTGTCAGTCTTATACGGTGGACTTGATGTTTGCCTGTTTGAGGCCTGTCCAGTTGACCAAATTCTGTTCCAGGTCCTTCTTGGTCTGCCTCTTCCTCGTTTAAAATTTGCAGGTAGATACTACTGAACTTACTAAACAGTTCAGACAAAGACATTTCTGAAACTCATTTCCTTCAGTAGTTGAGGTTGTTTTATTTATCTGAGTTAACACCACCATTTGGAGCAAAACATAAAATCCTAACCTGCACAGTCCGTGGAGACTGCATCCTTACGACCTTAAATCCCCAGTCTCTCGACCCCCTGATCTAAACCACCCTAAAAAGTGGTAAAAAAGACAGTAGTGACAGTCTAATACCACCAGTTCCTCATTTGTGCCTATAAACATTCACAGTGAACACTTCCATTCATCATGATAAGATGTCTTAGTTGTCATAAACCACAAATTCATTCATTCATCACTGTCTGTTTTGCCACTGTGTGTCACATTGGGCTCTGTTTCTCCATTCCATTCTGTTCTGTGCAGCTCCTTTGATTATCATGGAGAGAATCCGGTCCATCACATTTGGCCTCTCCTGTCAGCGTTTACTTTAGGGTTGCTCTTCGAAGTCCTCATTTCCTTAATCCCTGTTTCCCATTTCAGTGCCTGTTTGGTGATTGTTAATCTCTTCCTAGAATGTGTCCATTATAGTGTTATCTTCTCTGTCCTTTAACTGTTGATACCAGTTGACACTACTCTTAATAAATCAGAATGTGATCCTTTAATTCTCTTTCTTCTGCATTAACCCTTTAAAGGGTGGTCTGTGCATTGTGTTGAAGTTTACTGCTAGATTGCAACATCTGTGTCTTTTGACCAAACACATCTGATTTCGCTAAACCTCTGATTAATCTCCTTTCATGATTTGCTTGTTATCAAGCAATGGGTCTATTCTTTTTGACCCCTCAAAAATGAAGCACTGAAACCCACTTAGGTAGACTTTTTAATAGATTTGTTATTTAAATGTGTCTTTCTTTTGTGAACATAAACAGCCATTTATTTGAATTTACTGTTCCTTGTTTCAGAAGACTGTTGTCATGACAGATTCAGAAATAGAACAGTTGAGATGCATATTTCATAAACACATCCTTTCAAACAATGTATCCACAAATGAGGTATTGTATTACTGTCTTTGTACTTGCTATGTTATTAATATTGTTAGTACAGTGGTACCTCGATTCGCGAACCTAATTCGTTCCTGACTGTGGTTCATATCTCGAAACCCAATTTCTATATGATACAAATCAGGTAATCTGTTCTCAGATTAAAAATAAAAAACAAAATTCAAATAACAGTTTGTAGGATTCATGTGAAGGATTAGGAGGCAAGAACTGTATTTTGATAAAATTATACTCTTTATCCAAATCTTCTTTCAGCTGTGATGGATCTCCTGGTGCATTATTCAGTGTAAAAACTTATGCATCCAGACCCTTTTCTTGTAGACACCATTTTAACTATGGGAGCAGAAACTTTTGTTATCCACACACAGAAGAATTGCCTGGTTACCCAACCTCTGCTATTACTTTTCCACATAAAGTTGAGTTTGCATCTGTTAACTTTCTTTTTTTCAGTCAACCAACAGAAGTTTTATCTTCAGATTACCACTGGCATTGGCACAAAAGAGTAAAGTTAGCCTTTATTGTTTGATTTCACAAATACCAACATAGATATTTAAAAAAAAAATACCCAAAAACCATTAACCATTTGGCTAGGTACTATGAATATCGCAACCCTTTAGCCTTGATTCCATGATAGATACCTTAAATCTAGGAGAGATTTGGCTTTTCTGCCTAACCCCCTGGTGTGAACTCGGACAACAAGGAGTTCTTCACCCGGGTGCTGCAAAGTCAGGTTTAACCAACTACGCCAGTGAGCCAGGCAAATTAGATACATAAAAAAGCAAAGCTTAACCAGTGGCTTACAGATCACTGTTGAGCTGTATTGTATTAATCTTTCTACGCTGGAGCTCGGGCCTCTGGTCCACGACGATTCCCATTTTCAAAATGTTGACCCCTGAGTAAACTTAGTTGAATAGCCCTGCCCCGCATCTGCTAAAATCAAAGGCTCCATCGCATAACATCTAGATTACAATATATAAAATGCTGATGAGATCAGCTGTCTCATATGGCGCTGAAACCTGGAGCACAACTAAAAGACAAGAAGCCTTATTTCAAATTTTTGGAAAAAGGTCTTACAACAAATCTTTGGGCCATTAAAGATGCAGACAACTGGGAATGGAAAGTGAGAAGCAACAATAAAACTCCTCATCTGTTTAAATCACCGTCAATCACTGGCACCATGAGGGTTAATTGACTTAAATGGCTGGGACACATAGAGAGAATTGCAGATGACATAAAGGCAACAACTGTACACAAGGAAATTGAATGGCCATAACCATGAGGCAGACCAAGAAGACAGTGGAGAGATAATGTCCGGAAAATAAAAAAATTCACTAAGGCTTAACGATGTTTGGAAGGGTAAAATACATACACAGGAATAATAAGAGCCTTTATCAACAAGAATTACAACAGGATGGGGAAGATTATAATTGCTTATTGTATGTATTCTTCTCCTTCCCACCATTGTTTAGCTTCTTAGCTATAGTTCAGTGGATCCAGCTTTATGCAGTCACCCCTGTTTGTTGTCATATTTTAGATAATATCCAGTCAGACATACACACATGTGGAGTCACCATCTGGAAAGACGGGGTCAGTCACATGGACGAGTGGAGGCAGTTGATATCTGCAGCAGTGAACCTCAGGGGCTCAGAATCGCTGAATAAGAAGATATAAGGAGAAATGCATGCGTCTTTACCTAAAACAGTCAATATAAATTTAGAAAAGAAAAAGCCCATTCAGCGCATCATTGCAATATATGATAACTGTCAAAAGATGCCATTTGATTTCTGGTAGTGTATCTGCACTCTACTGTGATATGATGCAGTACTGTTTCTGGCAGCATTTCAGACTGTGATGTGACATTATGCAGTACAGTTCCTGTTATTACATTTGACACCTAGTGTAAAATTATGCAGTACAGTTCCTTAGTACCTCTGACACTCTACTTTAAAATTATGCAGTACAGTTCCTGTTAGTACCTCTGACACTCTACTGTAAAATGATGCAGTACAGTTCCTGTTAGCACCTCTGACACAACTACTGTAAAATTATGCAGTACAGCTCCTGTTAGTATATCTGACACACTACTGTAAAATTATGCAGTACAGCTCCTGTTAGTACATTTGACACCAAGTTTAAAAGGATGCAGTACAGTTCCTTAGTACCTCTGACACTCCACTGTAAAATGATGCAGTAAAGCTCCTGTTAGTATATCTGACACACTACTGTAAAATTATGCAGTACAGCTCCTGTTAGTACATTTGACACCTAGTTTAAAATGATGCAGTACTGTTCCTTAGTACCTCTGACACTCTTCTGTAAAATGATGCAGTACAGCCCTTGTTAGTACATCTGACACTCTACTGGGAAATTATGCTGTAATATTTCTGGTAACAAATCAAACAATTTTTCTTATTTGATTTTAAAGTTACCAGAATCAATTAACCTATTTGCTTGTTTTTAAATGATTTTTTTTTATTTCAGTTTTAATTTGTGACAAAGCATAATTATTGTTGAGCTTACTTCCATATATAGTGGCCTGAATTAATTACCACAATAATGGCAGGTTGGTTTTCCAATGTTGGTACAGTTCTGTGCTGTGAAATAGGCATGAGATAATGTCTAATTTTCCTGGACATTGTCTGGGAAAGCATGGGTGTATGTGAAAGCACGGGGATGGGGATTGGGGGGGGGGGGGGGGGGGCATCAGTCACTTCTTCATCCTGTCATGCTTTGAGCCACAGCATAGAAGGGTGCTGGTGGCCTGGTATATGTGAAAACTATCAAGTCCGACCACCACTGGACACTCCCTGTACCAGCCACTGTTCAGTATTTACTTTTTTACTTACCACACTAAAGTCACCTATGTGCAGTTTTGGAGAATTTGCACACAAGTGCATTTTCAAGGCTGTTTTTTTTGTGCGCTTACTTTTCAATGTGCCAGAGGCACACATATTAATCCATAGACTAGATAGGTCAGACTGAAGTGTTACTTTTCACCCAAATGCAGTTTTTCAGAGACCACTTTTCACAGAAAATGCAGTTTTTCAGAGACCACTTTTCACACAAATGCAGTTTTTCAGAGACCACTTTTCACAGAAATGCAGTTTTTCAGAGACCATTTTTCACAGAAAATGCAGTTTTTCAGAGACCATTTTTCACAGAAAATGCAGTTTTTCAGAGACCACTTTTCACAGAAATGCAGTTTTTCAGAGACCATTTTTCACAGAAAATGCAGTTTTTCAGAGATCTTAGTGTTAAAATGCTGTGTTCTAAACAAGCATTTAGCACTAAGGTGACTGGCAGAGTGCCGTGGTGCATTGTGCACAGTAGAGGCTGTTTTGACTTTTTGTTGCATTGGGCATATAATGATACTAGACCAGCTGGTACTTGATGGGTTGTGTGGTCAGTGTCATGCTAGCTACCTTTACTTCTCAAGACAATTCCTGGTATACATATTAGAATGGGAGCCATGATCATTGTTCCCCAAATCTACCTGTTTGCGAATTTGAACTTACTAAGCAGTACAAGTTCAGTATTTTATGGTGCCTGTCTGTAGGGCAAAATTCTGATTCCCAGATCTTGAATTTTTTTTGTCTGTCATATCCCGTGTGCAGTCTAAATATGTAGTTTGTCTCTTTCATGTAAGGAGGTTGATTGGGTCTTCAGTAGAGGAAGTGTTCTAATTGATTCTATTGGCTACAACGATCAGAGCCCCCCACACCCCCTCTCCACACACCCACCCACTCCTAGATGCACCCGCCACTGGTTGTTCTGTATATTAAATAAATTAATTCATTCATTTACCTGTTTTTCTTCCAACAGATTACACGTGCGATCAACGCACACTGGGATGTCTTCAGTGTTTTGATGCAGAGGGGTGTTACCTTGAAACAGATCAGGGACATTTTCAACAGTTTTATGAAACCAAAGAGATGACAGAAAAAACTGTTTAATTAATGACTATATTATATCCATTCTTTTCCAGGGACAGCACTGACTTTCTAAACTAGAAAATATACAACTGTGTTTTGCATTTAAATGTCATGAAGGTTTTTAAGTAACACTTCAACCAAGTAAGAATGTCTTTTATAGTACAGAGGAGGACGCATGGACTATTTAATGATAAACTGTGGCTGGGTAGTGTTGTAAAGTATTTTAGTAGTGCTATGAGTTTGAGTGTTTTGTTTAGTTAGTGAGAACTGATATCCTAGCACACAGAGTAGATCTCTGGGTGCTCCATCTCTCTCAGCAGATTTGTGTGCATGCTGATTGTTGCTGAAGCGCACTCATTGTACATTTGTCAGAGCCGTCCAATATTACATTTCTTTCTGCCAAAGCTATGGCTGCATTTGTGGTCTAACAGCCACCAAATGCTGATTACTATGGAAACCAGCATTAATCAGTGGAAGGAACATAAAGCTGTACATAGTTAGTTGACAGATTATCCTCATTGCATGTTGAACCACTCAGTCCATATGTGCTCGGATCTCCTCCTCAGTAAATTCCGCAGTGTGTAGCAGCTGACGACACCAGCTCTGTGTTTGTTTATTATTCTTCTTTAGCTATCTGCTTAGTGTTTTTTTTGTTTGGCTACATCCCGTTAAACTTGCTGCTCTTGCAGTCTGACCATGGTTGCAGATTCGCAGCTTTCATTTGATTTGTGTAAACATCTTGAATTTCATAGAGCATTCAGTATATCAGCCCGGTCCATGGCTTGTCCAGCTTTCACAGTAGCTTTACCTGCAAGTCTGTCAGCTTGCTCATTTCCTTGTACCCTCACATGTCTTGGCACGAAAACGAAACTAATCCTTGTCAGCCGTGAACGCTGTAGAGCCACCAGCCACCACCTTCGGACCCAGCCCTTCTCTATCTTCCTGAGCATACTCATTGAGTCACTGAGAATGCATGTCTCAGTGAAAGTCTGTCTCTCTAGCCATTTGACTGTACATGCTGAGCAAAAAATGGTTACATATTTAATTCATTCATCATCACCCTACTGTGCCATTATACTTCACATAGGGCTTACAGTGTGTTCTTCTGCTGTGTCCTGTGTAATCATGGATGGAGTCCAGTCCAGTACTTAGGAACTCTCTAATGAACATTCATCTGAGGGTCTATGTTTTGGGATGTTCTCGTTTCTTTAATTCATTTTCCGCTTCTGCTGTTGAGAATTGTGGGGAAGAAGTTTGTGATCCATTGCTTGATGGGCAGTAATGGCTGTTGTCATTCCATGTCAGTGTAGTAGCTCTTTAATGTCATCAATCCATATTCTTCTAGTGCGGCCTCTTGGTTTCACTTCAGATATTTTCATGTGTAGCACCTGTGTTGGTAGTTGTTCTGGCTGCATTCTTACAAAATGACCAAACAATTTGATCTTTTTTTTTCTCAGTGAATTTGTTGCATGGTGGTGTTCCTAATTCTAACTTTGTCTCGTATGGTTAGGTTGGCAGCTTTTCTCAGGCATCGAATTTTACAGGTGTTAATTTTACATAGGTTAGCCTTTGATAATGGTCAAGTCTGACGGTGGTAGCACAGTGTTGGTATAAACACTTGTTTCTTCAGTTCATTCATTTTCCATTGGAGCTTGTACTTAGTGATTCTGTTTTCACTTCTCCTCACTATGTGCCCAATAATATATCACCACATTACTTGTCGTATGACTGTTAACACCAGCGGCTGTCCAGATATTTCTCACATTTTTTAAACTCTCCATTCTTGACTTAATCCTGTTCAGTGTTTAACACAATTTCCTTAGACATATTTTTACCACACTTGTTTAATTACATGTTTAATTGCGTGACAGTATTATGGCTATGGAAATTACACCACTGACAAGGTAGTTCTTTAACTCTTTAAGGCCAATTAATTTTGACAGACTTAGCTCACTTTAATTTTCCTTTACAATGGCAGAGGAGGTGGTGTAAAAAAAAAAAAAAAGCAATGGAGAATATATTTCTAATGTAAAAGTATATATTTTTTTTAAAGAAAAATGAATGTAGATTTTGAATCTGATGATATGTTTTTGTTTCATACTGTTATAGTTAGGAGGAAGAAAATGAATTCAGCAGGTTTTATGTTTACAAAGACAGCATTTTACTAAAGAAATCTTCCCTTGCCATGGTTTTGCAGCCACAAGAGTAGTGAATTTCTGAGAATAACACTTTAAAGTTTGTTCAGTTTCCTAACAGATTTAAAGGTTGTTATGTGTGTCAGTGTTAGTTTATTACTCACTCACAGAATGCTGAACACATTTTCAAGCAGAAAATTGGACCTATGGTCCTATACACACAGAATAATGACTTTTTAGTTTTATACAGACTGTAGCTGCAATGATTTTAATGCAGCTTAGCCATTATATGAGTATTAAAAAGTTGTGCATCCTTTACAGGACATTGCAGAACCACCCCAGCATTTTTTGGCTATTGTGGTTTTTCTAGGCAAGTTTAAGTCCTGTAGTTTGCCATTGCTTTCTGGACGATCAGCTTCTCAATACCACTGTAGAAAACCAGCGCAAATCCCGCAGCTGGGATCAAACTCGGCACCCCAGCATTATGAAACACGTTTACAATGCCTAAGCCACAGACGCAGATGAGTGTAATTACTGTCTAAAACACTCCTTTTGATGCTAATGTGGGTGACTGTCATATCCTTCATAAATGAAATCCTGACTGCTTATCTGCTGCTGGTGTAAATTTACTGTCCTGATTACTTTCTGAAAAATTTAAATTTTTCATTATTAGAAAGCATCTTACTGAAATAATTTCAGAGCTTCAGCAACAGAAAGGGGCATTTTTCAGCCTTTGCTTGTGTTTGGAACATTGGTAACCATAGCGGCTTGAATATGAAATCAGAAAATGCGCTGTTTGAAAATCACGCTAGCAATGAATTCGATCAGTTTGCGCCCACATGTGTGCGAACATAGACTTTTCACAAAGAAAAATGTTAGAGTAACCTTCCCTGAATACTCTAGTGGTGGTTCAGAACATTAGAAACAGATACCGAGCTGTATGCTATCAATATGAACAGGACACAAGATCGACTCAGACAGTGTTGTTTGGGCAAATCAAAACTTCTCTATCAACATACACAGCATTGCTCAGGCCTCAAAGAGTTAAACTGACAATACAAAACAATGTGGAGTCGCTTAATTGCTCACCTGAAATGGCTCACTATTCACATGACACCATAATCAACAAGGCATTGCTTTCTCTTACATGCACATTAGAGTGTGTAGCTATGTTTCTAATTTCACCTGCACTTACAGGATTTGTCTACCACTGTCACTGGAATGTCAATGTTGAAACAGTGTCATTGACATTTGGAGGTATCTTTTGGGGAGGCTTTGGACTCTCATCACTTAGTATATATTTTTAACATAAATGAAAAGAGAGATTAAGAAATCTATTTTACAAGTCTTATGTCATTGCCCTAGCTCACATGCTGAAGTACTTAAGGTGATCAGAATGTTACAACAGCATTGTGGAGGTAAAGGCACAAGTTATGTGTTCCATTGTAACCTTTTGTCCTGTTCTTAGATGCAAATTTTAATCTGCATGTGTATATGAGCTTTTGTGTTTTGCTTGCATGTGCTGTCATTTCAGCTTCTCAGAATTGTACTAAAGTAGAGCATTTCGTGTTTATTTTTGTATTTGTAAAAAATGTGGAATCATTCAAACTTATTTTTTTTTATCAGCAGCGTGGTCGCTTTTTATGTTTTTACTGTCTGTTTTACTTCCTAATGCTTGTTTGAAGTTGAGGTTTTGGCTGCATGGTCAGACATTTCAGTGTTCACATGACAGGACAAAGCTAGGAATGTTTTACAATGGGTTTTTAATGTCATTGTCCCCTTAATGTTAGCTAATGAGATTGAATACCTAACTGTGCTAGAGTGGGGGGGGGGGGGGTCTGTACACAAGCTGTGTCTGTTTAAAAAAAAAAAATCCCTGTTCTGTTAGAATTACAAACTGTAGGCCGTAAGGAACATGTCATGGCAAAAGTGTTAGAAGTATGCCTACTCACAGAGGAGCCTTTTGGAAAGTGCCTAGAATACAAGGCTCTCATTTTTGAAACCTGGGTTTAATACCTTGGTAAAGTGATAGATTGTTTATTGTCAGAGGCAGAACATATTTGTTACCTGCACAGTTTCTGTGGTCATTGCACTAGCTATGCAACTTTAAATTTTATGTTGAAAAAATTATCCCCTGCCTTGTACAGCACCCTAAAAAGTGGTATAATAATGACTGTTTTACCTATCATTAAGTAAAGAGACCTATTATATCAGATACAGTCTGTCTAGTAGAAGCAAATCTTACACGGATGTATGCCTCGAAGTTGGACTCACCAACATCTCAGCTGGAGAGAGGCATAACTAGGTGTGATGCACTTTCCTCAGGTGAAGAAGATCATATGTTTTATTTGACCAGTTTTATTATTCAAGTATGTATGTGTGTGTGTGTGTTTTTTTTTTAAAACCACAATTGTATCCATAAAATAAAATAAAAACCCCACTACTAAGCTAGATTATATGTTTTCATCATTGAATGTGCAAAAGCTAACTTGTAGATGCTGCAGGTATAATCAGAAGGGGGTTGAGAATTTATGAGACACCCATGTGCTGGATCAAAGGTGATTTCTACCTTGACCCCATAGCAAGGGGTTCCATACTGACTTGATCTGGACACCCCCCCCCCCTTTTTTTTTTCCCTGCTTCCTTTCCCCCTCTCCAATTTGCAGGACATCAGGATGGAGCCTCTATAAGAGAGTGATGAAATGTTGCCTGGGGGGGGGGGGGGGGGGGGGGGATAGACGAAGAAGAGAAGGGCAAAGAAGAATCTGGAATGACATCAAGAATTGGGCAGGACTAACATATCATTCACTTATTCATCAAGCGAAAGACAGAGAAAGATTGCTGGTTCTGTATGCTAGTGCTTCCATTG